AAAAGGTTGCAGAGGGGTGTACGGATGCTTTGCAGCTGCATAGCAAAGGCTATCACCGGCTAATCAGTAACAATGGTCAGATAATTACCAGAATGAAATGCCCATACTGACAAAAAACAGCCAAGGTCGTAGCCAGACTTTTAGAAATACTGAGGTCATAAGTGTACCTGCTGCGACTTGAATACTCTGCGTAACAATTGTCAAGCCAGCGGGAGATAAAAGCATGCATGACGGATTTTGGTTATATGCCTCGAATGAAACAACACTGCAGTACTTTGGTGACTTGAGCATCACATTACAGCTCGGAGTCAAAAAGTGACACCAAGATCACAAGCTTCTCATTTAGATAGCGCACCCACACTAGACTGTAACGATGCAGGCACTTGGACCAGGGGGGACTATATGGATTTGATTTCTTCAGCACTCAATATCAGCAATGTAAGAGACACATCCATAGCACTAGGCTTCATTGGGAAATACACATGACCCTTGGCTGAACAGCATGAGACATGAAAGTACAATAAAAGAAATTCCTGAAGACCTCTCTTCATTTTTCTATTGTACATGTACATGTGTTCAAATGCCAAGGCAACTTCTTTTTTTTCTGGTTTGCAACCTCTACTTCTTCTACTCTGTTTACTGAGGGGTTACAGCCGTGTGTAGCCTATAGTGCCACGCAAGGCTAGTGACAGTCTGAAGAGTGGCACCATGTACATAGAGAATTACAGGGAACCCAGGATTGACCCCTGAGGGACCTTACAAGAGAGATAGATATTTGAGGGGTCATCACCAACCAAAACAGAGGTGTGGCATGAAACAATCCGATCTAGAGCCACATAGCTGAATGCTGACACAGCTTTTGAGAGGGTTGATTGAAACAACATTGTCCACTTTGTTAAAGACTGCCCGGAGCTTGATTTAAATTGAGAGTGTTGATTATAATTTCTAGTTCTGGAACGTAAACCCCCTCAAAAGATGTTAAACCCTTCCATTTCCAGACAAAATACTGGGTACATGATCTCATTGTCCTCAATGGCAGCTACACTTGGGGAACAGGCAAAATCAATGCTGCCTGGAAAGCAGATTTTGATTGTTTTTGCAGGTTGACATTGCTGATAACAGGCTGTTATTATCTATCTCAATCCCCAGTCAGTGCACTCAGCTGTGAGCCTTCACTGTAGCTGCCAGAGAGTGTGTTACACCACCTGCAGTCTCGTATACAGAGGAAAAAGGGAAGTGAAAGGAGGCAGACGAGTTAATTTGCTGTCTGTATGTGGGTGTTTGCTCCAGAGTGTGTGGGTGACGATGGCGACAGCAACAGCAAATGAGAGTGTGGTCTCCCCGGCAGACTCATAGTCGTGGCTATAAAGTTCTAGCAAGGTAGTCATACTGTGTGTGTGTGTGTGTGTGTGTGTGTGTGTGTGTGTGTGTGTGTGTGTGCGCCATTGTTTAGGGGACATCCAGGTGACACTGGTGGAGTTTTTATCACTGCAATAATCGGGAATGCAATCTCTATCTCAGTCTCTGCTGCCGTGTTGCCTCACCCCCCCGCTTCTTACGTCATCTATTCGTAGTTCACAGAGGCCCGAATGACAAATTTGGACATTCAGTTTTGCATCTATCAGCATTCAGACATTGAGAGAATTGTCGGTTTGCACCAAATGTGATTAACATTGAGCGGCAGTCATGCTTCCAGCCATGTGCTCCTCTCCCTCCTGCTTCTTTCACTTTGTCATTGATTCAGTTCCTTGGAACGTCCACATTGACCAGGGTTTGTTTTTGTTTAACATTTGTGTCAGACCAGCTATGTCCCTTTTCTGCTATTATTAGCTATTTTACTCATCGTCTAAATGGGAAATATATCAGCAACCTAATATTAGTTCTCTCACAAAAAATGAATATACTCCTTTTCTTGCGTAAAACCACGTCAAATTCCCTGATAGATTTAGTGAAATATGTGCAAAAGCAACATATTTTGAGCAACACATTTTTTAATTGGCTAAACATCAGATGTGTTGCGCTATCCTTGCCGTTTTTCGTTGCTGAGTTGCCCACTAGAGCATCTGTCTTTGTTTGACACGGTTGTGAATACATATTACCCCAGCGAGCTTGTTGCTGATTTTGATCTTTGCTTGCGCTCTTTCAGTTCTCACTCAACCCCTCTAATTGGGATTCTTCTCACTTTTAAGCATGAAGCTTTCAAAGACTAACCTACTCTCACAGAGAAGGCAAGCCAGGTGTGAAATCTCCCGCTGTCATTGATGAAATGATTTCTGCTCTTACTAGAAAGCCGACTTGTTTTGTAGACCATACGAGGAATATATGTCTCCAGATTCATTGATAATGGCATAGTCATTAGTGGTAAAAGGGTTATATATGTGTGTAAAAATGAAACTATTCAGTCTCAAAAATAATGAATGTGAGCGCATGTAGAGCTGAGCCACAATCAATTACTTGATTTGCAGAAAATCAATCCACAAGCTCTTTTATAAATCAACCAGATGTGTTTGTTCCAGCCTCTCTGATGTGGGGATTAACTGCTTTATTCTACTGGGTGTGATTGCAAATTCTGTAGAATTTGGTTTCTGGAACTTTTTAATATATTGCCTCAGTAAAATATATTCTTCAATACAGAATGATGTTCATTTAGTACATTATGGTCCCATTTACAGTAAAATACATAATAAAGCCGGGTATAATTCATGTCAATGCATATCCCTCCCTCCACCATCGCATCTAAATATGGTTGCGGCCAAAATCCATAAATCGAAGCCTCAAAACAATAGCCCTACCAAAAATAATCAACATACTTAATATTATTGAAAATAAATAGCTGCAGCACAATCAGTATGCATCACTGTTTTGGGCCTTTTTTAAATGTTTTACTGTATCTGAAAATATACAGTATTAAAGGAACTGTTATTCCCTTCAACATACAGATACAAAATATGTTGTGATGTAAGTGAATGAGTGTATCCAAAGATAAAGACTTTATAACACAAGTTCGAGCTATTGCATCGGTCAAAAAAACAATAGTAACCAGGGATACCTCACCAGATGGGCTCATTGTTAGTATCCACCTCCTCCTGCCAGCAATCAATCACTATAATAAATCCCAGGGCTTTTCCAATCATGACTAGCAAATGACACGCTACTTAACATCCTATTTGGTAACTGGTGAAGGGAAATGCATGCCGACACCCCTGGTGTAATGTTGGAAAAAACATGGGCATGAATTTCCCTCGTCTCCACAGCCTCTAAACCAACTGGCACTAACAAATTGACTTGCAGCACAGAAACACCATCTAGCCAGCTCATTACAAAGGCCTAATCCTTTATAGTTAATTAACTTTTTGTTCTCTCTGTATATTAGACGAGGGGACATTTACAATGCTGTCAAGTGTTGCAATCCCTCTCACCTGCTAGGTTTGAAAAGAACATTTTACAGCTTTAAATGTTGGCCGAGTGGCATATGCATGGGCCCAATCCAGTGTTCACTTGTACTGAAATATTTACGTGTTGGAGGAAATTGATTGTAGCATTCAGAAATTCATAGCACATTCCCTCGCAGCAGTTTCCCCCTCATCAGAAATGCAGCTCAGGCATTTTACAAATAAATAAACAGTGTGCGTGGGCGTGCGGGTGTTCCTGTGTGGGAGATTTTGCACTGTGGAGCACATGCCTTTGAACGTTGTGTATTCATGTCTATATTTTTCGACTGGTGAAAATCCCACAGATTTGACTCACATGAATGGGCCTGCTGCAGACAGATTTGGATGCTGCTTACTGGTGCATGGTAGAGAGGACTGTGTACAACTATATCTCAGATATGAGCAGAAAAGGATAGCCCGTGTCTCTATTAGAGGAGTTTAACCAAGGATGTTCCAATTTTAATTTTATTTTTAATCTGTCATGTCACACTAAAACCGTTCAGCAGCTTTGCTGGTACATGGTGAATGTACCCCAAAACATCTGTGCATTGTCTTCTTTCTTTAGCACTTGTGTATTGAAGTGTGTACTGGACATGGCGGCCTCTAGGGGCCACGTTGGACAGCGAAGATTGGCAGATACCCTGGCATATTTACTGCTTTTATGAAAACGCTCCAGTAAACTGTGATGCCAGCTAGTTGATCATGGAGCCCTCAGAACTTCATGTCAAAAATCATATTACAAAAAATATTTTTTTGTAATATATGTCAGGGTATCTACCAAGAGATTTGTGTGAACATACTGGCTGATTTGACATTAATTCTATGTCAGAGTACTTGAGTACTGTACATGCCAACAAGGTTTTAATAAATCTCACAGAGTTGTAAAAATATTCTCAATGTTCCTCAACAAAGAAACACAGGATGCTATAACAATACTACAGGTTTATGTTATGACCACTAGTTCAAAATGACTTCAACTTTGTTTTCTTTGGACCTGTGTTTTTCCATTAGCCTCTGGCACTGTCAGAGTGGTAGGGACCTCAAATTGATTCATTCTTGGGGTACAAAACATGTAAAATCAACAGAAATCTGAAGATTTCAGAAATTAAGCTTCAGATTATGTTCTCAGTTCTTCTCTGCTTTATTTGAATAATTTAATTAGTTTTTGGACAAAACATGGCATCTGAAGATGTCGTCATAAAGTAGTTGTTACGGTGGCACAGAAGTTCAAAGACAAGATCCAAATTGAAAGAAATTCTTCAAAATGTTGTGTTCATTTGTACCATGATATATTTTTTTATATCTGTTGATGCTGCTTAATAACATCACGTGTAGCAGTTCAGTTCAGTCACAAAAAAAAAGTAGTTTTTAGGAATCCAGAGCATTCTGATAATGCTATTACTCAGTGGCACCAAAATCCCTCTGAGACAAGGACCATTTCACTTACTAGGAATGAGTATATCATGCAAAGAGAACAATTTTCTAAACCATGTCATGTTTGATGTACACAGTGCTAATACATCAATGCAAACCGAATTCTTACCGAGTTCTCTCTCTCTTTCATTCTAGGCCATGGAACCAAAGGGGTGTTCGAGCTGCTGGCAGGCTGGAGGAGAACGAGGGAAAACCTCCCCTTCAAGGAGCGCGTGGCGGATGCTTTTGCCGATGTGATGGTGTGCTACACCATGACCAGCTCCCTCTACATCATCACCTTTGGCATGGGAGCTAGCCCTTTCACCAACATCGAGTCGGTGAAAATCTTCTGCCAGAGCATGTGCGTTGCCATCCTGGTCAACTACTTCTACGTTTTCTCCTTCTACGGCTCCTGCCTGGTGTTTGCCGGACAGCTGGAGCAGAACCGCTACCACAGTGTTTTCTGTTGTAAAATCCCCTCAGTGGAATACCTGGACCGCCAGCCCACATGGTTCAAAACCATGATGAGTGATGGCCATGACTTGTCTACACACCACGATAGCGTCCCCTACCAGAATCACTTCATCCAGCACTTCCTGCGTGAGCACTACACAGAATGGATTACCAACACCTATGTCAAACCCTTTGTGGTCATTCTATATCTCATCTACGCCTCTTTTTCATTCATGGGATGTTTACAGATCAGTGATGGATCAAATATAGTGAACCTGCTGGCTAGTAACTCTCCGAGTGTTTCCTACGCTCTGACCCAGCAGAAATACTTCAGTAACTACAGTCCTGTGATTGGCTTCTACATTTATGAGCCCATCGAGTACTGGAACTCCACGGTGCAGGAGCACCTGAAGACCCTGAGTCATGGCTTCAACAAGATCTCTTGGATGGACAACTTTTTCCACTACCTGCGCGTGGTGAATGTGAGCGCGTCAACCAAGAGCGACTTCATCGCGATCCTTAAGGGCTCCTTCCTTCGCAGCCCGGAGTACCAGCACTTCACTGAGGACATCATTTTCTCCATGAACCGCGATACTGACGAGTACGACATTATCGCCTCTCGGATGTACCTGGTGGCACGGACGACAGAGAAGAAGCGAGAGGAGGTGGTGGAGCTTCTGGAAAAGCTTCGTCCGTTGATGCTGATCAACAGCATCAAATTCATTGCCTTCAATCCCACGTTTGTGTTTATGGACCGCTACAGCTCCTCTGTCATCTCGCCCATCCTGACCTCAGGCTTCAGCGTACTCACAATCCTCATCCTCACTTTCTTCCTGGTCATCAACCCATTGGGGAACTTCTGGCTCATTCTCACGGTGACGTCCGTGGAGCTGGGCGTCTTGGGTTTGATGACCCTCTGGAACGTCGGCATGGACAGCATCTCAATCCTGTGCCTTATTTATACCCTCAACTTCGCCATGGATCACTGTGTACCACACCTGTACACTTTTGTGCTGGCCAACGAGCACACTAGGACGCAGTGCATCAAGTTGGCACTGGAGGAGCACGGGGCGGCCATCCTGCAGAACGCATCCTGCTTTGTGATCGGGATCATGCCCCTGGTGTTTGTGCCTTCCAATCTGACCTACACACTGTTCAAGTGCTCCCTCCTCACGGCGGGCTGCACCGTGCTGCACTGCTTTGTCATCCTGCCCGTCTTCCTGACCTTCTTCCCGCCGTCCAAAAAGAGACACAAGAAAAAGAAACGGGCCAAGCGCAAAGAGCGGGAGAGGGAGAGGGAGCGGGAGAGGGAAAGAGAAAGGGAGGAGATAGAGTGCATTGAAGTCAGGGAGAATCCTGATCATGTGACAAACGTCTGAGTAGTTTGTTATTTTAGCAATGAGTATCAGTGGTTATCCGTCAGTTATTGGTGGATTAGAGGTATCCTCCAATGGTGAGCCGCCTCTCGAGGTGAAGGGGCGTCCGAGAAGTCCCCTGAGGAGTGGGAACTGATCACTCCCAACCAATAGCAGCTAAGCTGGCTAGAGTAGAGCGCAGCCCCACTGGTCAGTCATTCAGTCTGGACAGTGTATCTCATTTGCACAAACTGCAGCATGCCCACGGTTCTAAAGCTCTTTCCCAACTATTTGGTATATTAGACAAGTTAGTTCCCAGAACTCTTGCTTGCTAAGTCTGTAAGTAAATTCCAAACAATCGGTATGTGAGTCCATTTAAATATTAACAATTCTATGTTCATCTCCTGCTGCCCTTATCTCAAAAGAAGTGAGTGAGGAACATAGCAGTCTGTTAAGCCAAGGACTAGTTGGTGAAAGTGGTTAGTGGGATCATACAAAAGTGTATAAACGAAACTGTGCAGGAGACGACTGCACGCGCACCTTACTCCTCACACCGTGGTAACGGCAAAAACAAACGAAACCAAATTCCATGGAAGGAGAGAAACTGTGTAGAGCACACAACATGCTTTTCTGTGACATTAAAAAATAGCTGAACAGCTGAACTGGGCAGATGGCATACACTGTGTCCACTATGAAGAATTATCTTGCACATTGCATCGTGCAAATTGAACCGTCGAGGCTCATATTAGCAGGAGTCAAATATTCCTGCTTTATTCCAGAGGGCAAATAAGGTCGTAGGCAATGGCAACAGGAACTGCAGTGGGCTGCAGCTTATGAAGAGGAAGTGATAAGTAACTGTCGTGCAGCAGTATTTTTAAAAGGCAGTAAGCCTGAGTATGACTTATCCTAAACTGCTTTTACACCAGACCAGTAAAACCAAAAGTGAAGGGTGTTTCCATGGCTGGAAATATGGAACTTTCTTGCAGGTTGATAACAATGGAAAGTTCCAGAGAGAGTATGAATGTCTCTGTGATCCACGTACAAAAGCTTATGGCATGGCACTGGTAATTGGAAGGTCTGAATGTGATTCAAAACTAGCAGTGGTGCCAAATAGTGTACATAATTTTTTGTTTTGACAGAGTTCTATAACAACAAAAAAAGTCTCAGTAAGTTTGAACTTTCACAGAAACCAACCACGAATTATTCAAGCTAATTTGAATGATTGCTATTTGATGTTCAGGTTTGTGAAGCAGGCTATTAAGCAGTGAAGCACCTTTCGTTGAATAGAATGTCTCTGAATAGTGTGAAAAAACTGATAAAGAGCCGTAGTGAAACTAGAACGTCCAGGTTTGTGTTCCAGAAGTTATTCAAAATCATTGACATTTGTAATAAAACAAATTACTACTAATCCAGCCCTACAACATTATCTTTGTATTTTGTTCACTCCAGTTAAAGTTTATACAAAGGGGTTGATCATTGTGACAAGATCACAGATGATTATTACCCACCTCTGTTGTTCACCTCAGCCCTGCAGAGCATTGTAGCGTCTTTCAGCCCATTGTTTTGTGGCCAGCAGCCTAACTGTATGGCTCACTCTCACGACTCTCAACCTCGTTTCCAGCAGTAGGCAGCTTGTCCTGTGAAACAGCTTTGATATACCTTCTCTTTGCTACCTTCCCAGCAACAAATAGCAAACAGAGAAAATGAGTGGACATAGCATTTAGCGGCTAAAGAGCCACACATGTCCATCAGGAGTCGGTGGAGACCAAAACAGAGCTTGACAAAGAGTGAATATTGGACTTACATTGATCAGGCGATCAGAAACACAATGCCAAATTGTTGCTAATGTTGCTCCGTATCTGCTAGATGTGTAAATAATCAATTGCTTTCTAATACAGGCCTACTTTTTGAGGTGATCATTCGTCAAGATGTGTTTTTCAGCATGTTCCAAGGCCCCCACGTGACCAAAAAAATGCTGCTTTAATGAACACCACTTCCCCAAGCCTAAGACCATTCTGGGTTAATACCAACTGAAAGACTAGATATGACATAGCACTAGCACTAGCATTGGCACCAGCCAAGGAAGAGAATTGTTGCAGTGATGTATAATATGGGCAAGGCCATGCTAGAAAACCAGATTTTTGAACAGCTTTTTTTTTTATGTTAACAAACCAATCGTATAACTTTTGTTTTACAATCATCAAGGGTTTGAATGCTGATAGCAAATACTATAAAAGACACCCATTGATCTTGGAGTAGTAAAAGACAGCAGAGCATGTCACTTTTTCCGAGAGGCCAATTAAAGACACCCTCAATGAGATATTCTACTGAGCTACGATAGCTTAAGAATAGCATCTAGCCAGGAAGTGACGTCAAGACTTCAGCTATCTAATTTATTTGGAGCATTCTAAATGTGAAGGTACACACACACACACACACACACACACACACACAAATACCCTCTTTTAATAGTCAGCCTAAGAAGTCTAAAACGTCTGCCGGCTACCTAGAGGGTTTTATTTATATATATATATATATATATATATATATATAT